AGATGCGTGATTAAACAATAGGTGGCGGTAATGGCAAAAAAATTAGTTTGTAATCTAACAAGAAGAAGAATATCCTTGCATCGCACTGATTCGCGCAGGCCAGAGCCGTTAAATATGCGCAGGCTCAACAACACGCAATGTAGCTTTTGCTCGCGCTACACCGCTACTTGCTCCAAAAAGTAGTTAGCTACTGGAAAAGCTACTGTTTAAAAAGCAACTGAGCTACTGCCAAGCTACTGAAAAATGTAGTTAAGTTAGTAGCGTCGCTACTTGTAGTTAACTACTCCCCAACACTGACGATCAACCAGCTCCAAACACACACACACACACGTCCCTATCATTGGACCCTGCGTTACCATGGAATCGTTACTTTAAATCGTTTTACAAGCTCAATGTTTGTGATATCAACTTCAAATTAGGGACACAGCTTAGATAGACACACAGCTTTGATTTTATAACAATTTTGTAGGCCAAAATATTTTGTAAAATATGTATTTTTAATAAAATACAAATCGTTAAATTTAGCCATTTTTGCTTTACAGGAGTTTTTACACTTTTATTTTTTAAATTGCCTTCACTTCTGCAATAATCTGCTGATTGTTTTCTTGAATTATAGTCATAATTATAATATTAATATGAGGTCCCCATTTGCATCTATTTTGTAGTTAATTCTGAATTTCAAATTTTGGCAAAAAGTCATGTTATGCGTAATAATAACCAATCATTGCTTGCATTATAGATCATTGGTGTCACTTCAGATCATTGGTGCTATCATTATTATTATTATTCCAGAGAACGTACGATTAATATTATGTATTATATGTAGCTAGTGTTATGTTGTAATGCATATTTATTGAATTTTATGCAATATTAAATTCATTAAACATTGTACTGGAGGTTATCCTTAACTTTAAGAGGTTTTTAAGAACACGCTTTTCAAGAATTTGCTGCAAAACTTCAGCAGAAGTCTCAGTTTAATAGAGTTATTGAGAGATCTCCTTTCTTATTCTTCTTTCCCGAGCGCTACACACAAACACTAAATGTGGTGTTCTATCTCTCACCTTCCTCTTCTCTTTCTAATGAAGTCGATCTGTTTCTCTTCCTCTGGCCCAAATGTTTGTTTACCTTTCATCTCGGTTCCTTCCTCCCGCGCTGTTCTTGGATAGATAGAGTGATGGATGGATCAAATCGAACTTCTTTTGAGGAAGACGTTGTTCCCAGATGGTTTGCGTGGCGGGGTGTATAGATTTGTAAAAATCCTCAGTCAAAGTGTCACTTTCGTCAGATGACTGCAGACTTCTGCAGTTTCTCCAGCTTGCAGGATTCATTCTGATGCACAAGCATTGTTCATTCCCAGCCTCTTAACACTTCATATTAACGTCACGCTTCATCCACAAATCAAGACTTTCATGAGTTACAGTAAGTTTCAAACCCGGATGACTTCTTTCTTTCTTTCTTTCTTTCTTTCTTTCTTTCTTTCTTTCTTTCTTTCTTTCTTTCTTTCTTTCTTTCTTTCTTTCTTTCTTGCTTTCTTGCTTTCTTTCTTTCTTGCTTTCTTTCTTTCTTTCTTTCTTCAGTGGAACATAAAGCGTTACAATGTTCATGTTGCTCTTTTACACACTGGGGTCGGTAAGATTTTTTTAATGTTTTAAAAGAAGTCTGTTATTCTCACCAATTAAGACTGCGATAATTTGGTCAAAAATACAGTAAAAAAATCTGAAATATTATTCCGATGTAAAACATCTGTTTTCTATGTGAATATACAGTAAAGTGTAATTTATTCCTGTGATCAAAGCTGAATTTCAGCATCATTACTCCAGTCTTCAGTGTCACATGATCCTTCAGAAATCACTCTAATATGAGGATCTGATGCTCAAGACACATTTATGATTATCATAAATATTTTTGAGGAAACTGTGATGCATGTTATTTTTCGTGATTCTTTTGATTAATAAAAAGTTCAAAATAACAGCGTAAAAAAAAAAAAAAAAAGAATCTTTAGAAACATTATAAATGTCACTTTTGATCAATTTAATGCATTTTTGCAGAATAAAAGTATTAAGTTCTTTCCCCTTAAAAAAGACCCCAAACCTTTGAACGTTAGTTTTTCAATGAAAATTACTGAATGAAATTGAAATAAAAGATTCATAAAATAATTTAAAAGAAGTCTAAATTAGATGTATGTGCTATATTCCAAGTCATCAAAAGTGATGAACACAATTTGCAGAATTTTTTTGTGCAACGATTGTTTCTATGGGTTTGGTAATGTGCTCATGCTCGGTCGTGGTCGTCTCAGGTGATTCTGACCAGCTTTTAAATGAATGTCTCACTTGACTTGCTTTTCTAATTACAAGTGTGAATCATTTTTGTCACTCAAAAGTCTCCACTGCATATTAACTCAACATGAATGTGAAAAGATGTGAAAGCACCTTTAGAAACTGTGCTGATCTGATATATGAAATTTCACAACATTCACAAGTACATTTATTCATTCAGCAGAGGCTTTTCCATCTTCAAAATATACAATACACAACATCATAGAGTTAGTGTGCTGGAAATTCAACAGGAGATTTGTTTATATTAGGGCCGGGACTTAAACGCGTTAATTAAGATTAATTAATTACAGACTTTAACGCGTTAATTAATTACACAAATTATTTTAATCACACTTAGTTTTGCACCGCGGAACGTTTCTCACTGGATGAGTTTCTGCGGACCGATTATACTGGCGCACCAACTAGCGTTCATGACGAAGAAGCAAGGGGGTAATCCATCGACCGGAAGTTGAAGCCGGCCGGGTGCCGCCATGTTGTAGCAGAACTTCACTTGCGTTAGCATTTCCATTGACTCCCATTCATTTTTGCGTCACTTTGACAGCGAATAACTTTACATCTGAGGCGTTTAAAGACTCCATTTGTCCATTATTTATTTCTAAAGAAACACGACAATGTATAAAGGGCTCCATTACCTTCTATGTTACACTATGGCCCCGTAGAAACAGATTTAGTAAAAATAGGCTAACGATTGCGTCATAACCACTCGACTCTCTGTCGCGCTGTACAGAAGTTACCGTACAGACAGGAGGAGAAGCTCGCAGGCAATCGGGGGGACGTCCCGTCAAGGGAGAAGCCCATAGATAATGAGTCCATAAAAGCAACAGAATTCTTACTCCTGCTCACTCACGCCAAAGAACTCTTTGCTCAAGTTCCCCGTCTCTGCAAGATTAACGTTGGCAGTTTTCACGCACAGCTACTAGAAGATTCACGTCTGTCAGACAGGTTGCTCACGTCATCAAGCTTAGTTTGAGTCGGTCTGAGTCTGCGCGTCAGGAACGGAAGTTCTCAAAAATCGCTAAAAGTGGGCTTCAACTGTCTCAACTGAGTTCCAATGAGATCGCTCTGTCCATTTCTTTTACTGTCTATGCGAAGAAGCTGACGAGATCACTTTGGTTGGCCGGTGGATGGGAAATTTTGTTATAAAAAGCGAATGGATGGAAGCGTCGATAAGAGCATGGTTGTGTGCAAGCTATGCAACAAGGAATTCGCTATTGCTATGGTGTGTTCACACCGAACGCGAATAGAGCGTCAAATACGCGTCTATCGCGTCTAGTTAGACGCTTGAACATTTGCTCGAGTCCAAATTTTTCAACTTGCCGGGAAGACATTCGCGGCAAACGCGTCGCCCAATTCGCGTCATTCGCAACGCCCGGCGCGATTGATTCGTCTATTCGCGTCTTTGCATTGACTTTGTATGTAATCTACTCGCGCAAATAATTAAATTCGTGTTCGGTGTGAACACACCATTAGTGTGTTCAATATGCTATTGCTACACTTAATGGCAAAAATTGCACTGGTCTGCTGGACTTGGTTGAACAAAAATAAACTATTTTGTTGCTTAAGCTTATGTATTCAGTCATTATTCAATAGTATACTAAAAATCTATGTGAAAAAAATTACTTCTCACTGTTCTCAGGTCAAATATTTATGCAATTAAAATGCGATTAATTTCGATTAATTAATTACAAAGCCTCTAATTAATTAGATTAATTTTTTTAATCGAGTCCCGGCCCTAGTTTATATACTAAAGTATGTGGTGTTGCCTATCCCTTTTCATTTTGGAGATTATTCATATTATCCCTCATAACGAATGAGTCTGTGTAAAAACAGTGTTATTCTAACAGTGAGACTTTAGTTGAACACTCTAAAAAATGCTGGGTTAAAAACAACCCAAGTTGTGTTCAAAATGGAAAAACCCATCGAATGGGTTGTTTTAACTCAGCGGTTGGGTAAAAAGTTTTATTTAACTCAAGTATTGTTTAAAAATTATTGTATTTCTTTCATAAAATTAACCCGAGGTATGTTGAAAATTAACATATATTAATATAATAGGTTTTATAAATGAACATTTATTAATAAGTTTAATGAATAATAATTCCAAATATTTTGGGTTCAAAGTTACTCTGGGTTTATATAGTAATTTTTAAACAATAGTTGGATTAAATAAAACTGTCCAGCACGTTGGCCAAACGTTTAACCCAACCGCTGGGTTAAAACAACACATTTGCTGGGTTTGTCCATTTTCAACCCAACTTGGGTTGTTTTAAAAGCAGCATTTTTTAGTCTAGTCACCTTTATTTACACAGCGCTTTTTACAGTACTTTTAGAGTTTTACAGTAGTTTTAGAGTGTTTAAAAGCAGCTTTACAGACATTACAGGACAATAATACAACTAAGTGTGTTTCCAGAAGAAAATAGCATCACAGTCCAGCTTGAGTAAGTTCAGTGATGTTTAATTTTTATTGTAAAAAGTTATTAATTTAGTTCATTTATATATATAGCCGCTCTGCAGATCGTCCAGCTCAGTTCAGTTCTTGTATAATGGTGTCAATGCGGGCGGATCAATAATATTGCTGAAAATAAATGAAATGTAATTAAATGTAGTGTACCCAATGAAACGTGACGGCAGCTTTGATTGACAGCTTGACTCCGCCCCCGTTCACAGGTACAGGAGCTGGTGGAGGACATCAAGCACTCGTTGGATCTGAGACTACAGGAGCTCGACTGGATGGATGACGAAACTAAAGACGCTGCGAGAGCAAAGGTTGGGTTAAATCTTTTAATTACATTTTTAACCCAACAGTTGGGTTCGTCCATATTTGACCCAAATTTGGGTCAAAACAACCCAAAAGCATTTGTAGAGTGTAGGATCAGTGTACGTGGAAGCAAATTGAAGCAAAGGTAAATCATACAAGAACCTTTGCATGTTTAATGCAACAATTACACTTGTGCAAAGTGACAGATTTCAGAGAAAAAAGAGAAAAATAAAAGCTTAAAATGACCTGACTGCATAAGTGTTCACCCCCCTGAACTAATGCTTAAAGTGGTAAAAGATCCAGCTATTAATGTTGTTTATGTGTCTATGTGGTGTTTTTAATCTGCTTTATAAAACGGTTAGTTCCAATCCTTGATTCTGATTGGTCAATAGCTGTGCTTTATTCACGATAAAACACGGCTATGACCGCTTCACCCAACGGTTCTATGTATCACTACACAACACCCCTAGCAACCACTCTTAGCAACCTAAACAGATGTTTCATCTCATTGATATTGTTCATTTAAAGCTAGAGCAGAGCATTGTGAGAGATCGAGTAAGCGAGTGTACCTGCATTTACAGTAGACGTAGCATTTTCCTTCAGGTCAGTCCTATATTCATAATAAAAAAATGCGTTTGAATGTCCGCTGCATATTTTGTCCTTTTAACAGTCATGGGGTTTTCCGTGCATAACGTTAGTCATCTGTCAGTTGCGTCTGTCTTCTCCGTGATCACAAGTTCGAGTCCTTTCAAAAGCCTTCTCTACAGACTCACTCACTCACTCACTCACTCATAAAGACAGTCTTTGCCGCCATCTATTGGCGAAATAATATATGTAACTTCTGTTGCTGTTCACGTTCCGGGACTATTTTTTCCAGCGGAAGGCAGGCTTTTAGTGATTTTACTTCATGAAAGTTGCATAGATACATATTTTTCGGCTTTAATATTTTTATTGTGTGGCAACCGTTTTATAAAAGCAATAAGGTACTCGAGGCAAGTGCTGTATCGTGAATAAGTAACGGCTGAAGGGGTTACTCCGCTTCGCGTCGTGCCTAACAACGCCCTCCAGCCGTTACTTATTCACGATACAGCACAGCCTCTCGTACCTTATTGCTTACTTAAGACACACCATGTGTAAGTTCATAAGTCGACAGCATTGCTGAGTATTTCCTCCTTAAAACTGCAGTGAACCAAAGACAGTCTCAAAAACACGGTTTGAAATCGCTGGTGTTTCTGACGTCACAAACGACCTTGTAACCAATCAGATCAACGTGTGATCGTCAACCAGTGGATCTCTGAGTGAGTGAGTGAGTGAGTGGAGGCGGTGCTCATCTGCATATTCATAGAACCGCGCATACTAAATGAGGCAAGGGTGTCGAGTTACATTCAAGATATTTTAAGGCATGACCACATTTCTTTCAAGGAAACATTAGTTTAGCCTCTGGGACTTTCGTCCACTGTAGTGGATATTATATTTTACTGTATTTCTGTATTATGACACCATACATGTCACAGTTTTAGTATCTGGTTTATTCAGAGACACCAAATGTTTGGAGGTTTGAAAATAACTTCTCCTTGGTCTTTAAAAATGACTTGCATTCATTTAGTGATTAAATTTAGCACTTTTATGGAAATATGATAATATATATTGTAACTATCATTTAAATCGGACCACTTTTCAAATTGTATTTCATAAACCAACATCTCAGGAAAATGTTATGGGTTTTCAAATCAAAATATGACTTTCTGTTAGAGATCCGGGATTGAGTTCATCCATGCACCTGATAGACTAGCATGTTTATCAGGCATTCCTATGAAATATTAGATATTATTATTAAAATGTTGCCTATTATAACTCCCAGTATTACACTTCTTTTTTCATTACATGTTGCCCCAATAACGGATTAATATGCAAATTAGATAGGAATATTAATTTATGACCATTTTACCCACATATTGCATAAAGTAAAATGGTGTATCAATTCATTCCATTATATTGATTGATTCATTGAAGTTTATTTCGAGCAAAATACTATATATATACTAACAAAATATACATAAAAAAAATATAATAGTTTATCTCCCATATATATATATATACATATACATTACAAATAATAACTATACACATATACATACATATACTGTATATGTACATGTACATATATACCTAAATACGCATATATACACAGTACAATTGTGATACACATATCCACATAAATTATTTACACATATAACACTTCCTCGAAAGTCTTCATCTCGCTCGCATATCTTTCATAACATAGTTGAGAATCATCTTTATACAAATTTTGGTTAAAAAAAACCCTGAAACCAAAAATTGACCGGTGAATAAAAAAAAAATCCCATTGTTTTTGCCCATACATTTCATTTAATGTAATTTAGAGTCCTGGCGTCCACTACAGAGGACATAGCATAACATAT